CATCCCTTCTCATGTGGATCCATATCAAAACATCTGCATTAAGATAATAAAATGACAGTACAGACATTTCTTTGGTAGAAACCGACGAAAGTGGATCACCTCACAGAAGCTGGAAGAAAAACATCCTGAAAATAACATAAAAACGTTTTATCAGATGTCATTTAGGCTATTTACTCAGGAAAAACAATAAGTATATTATATGTTAATATAGAACCTATAAGTGCTAATTTTATTATTATTATAGGAACCTGCCACTACAGATATACGTATTTAGGCTAATTGAGAGTTGAACAGATCTTTTGGTCAGTGGGACAAAGAGTAAAGTCTGTTGATATTAGTATTTCTTTCCCATACTGTGTAGAAACTCTGAATTGACTTATTTTTTCCTTTTTAATTTATAGAGACAATCAACATACCTGTGGTAAGAGCCGTGCCCAGTTAATGGAGTTGGCGGTGCTGAGGATGGTGCCGTACTCCACAGTCAGATGCCCAGTCAGCCCTGCATCTCCAAACATCCTCTTGATGCTCTTCTGACAGAAGTCAAAGTCTGACAGAACACTGACTGCTCTGGTGTTTCCTTCCCTAAAGCTCGTCATCTGCAGCTTCTGGATCTGACTCACCCCTACCTCAGGGAAGAACACCAACACACCGGCTCGGTGCGCGTTGGCGCCGCTCAGTTGGCTGAAGCCGCTGAGGACGGCGCTGCCTGTGTCCCCAGACGTGGCGACCAAGATGAGGAAGTTGCACATCGGTGGGAGGCAGTAGGCGAAGAGTTGAGGCATCAGCTGCAAGGCGAGGTCCTTGAACGAGGCGGTCGGGCCATGGAAAAGCTCCTGGACGTACTGATTTTGGACAAGATGTTTGACAGGTGCAACTTTCTTGCTGGAGAAGTTGCTTCCATAAGCTTTGAATATCATACTCCTGAGGTCCAAAGCAGAGATGTCGTGTGGATGGATGCACTTTTCCAGCAAGACAGAGGCTCTTTCTGGATATGACAGAGAAATCAATCTGAGCCATTCGCTTTTAGGAATCTTTGGAAAGCCTTTCCTGGGGACATAAAGACCTCCATCTGCAGCCAGACCCTCGATAACCACGTCACTGAAGAATGTTTTTCTATAGGACATTTCAGAGTACCTGGTTGAAACGTAGGTCTCCTCATCATGCTCCTGATATCTTTCTACGGCCCTCACTACCTTCTCCGCCACTTCCTCCACTGTGTCTCCTGTTCCACAAAACACCCTCACGTCCAGCCATTTCTCATAGAAGCGCCTCCTGTAGAGCAAAATGTCTCTCATGGACACCCCCTCCTCCTGTCCCACTATCCGATTAACCTTCATCCTGTCGAGTCTCTCTATGATGTCCTCGCTGTCCACGTCCAGGTAAACGACAACTCCGTTCTGCTTGATGTGCTGCATGGCTTCATGATGGAGGGGATTTGAACCAGTCAGGGAAACAACGCAGCCAGAGACGCAGAAGTTACACAAAGCCTGGCCTTCCTCCTCCAGGAAACGCTTTCCGCCCACTTCTGCCAGCTTGGCCGCCACTGGCATCTTCCACGCCGTCTCCAAGACATCGTCATCGATGTCTATGGCGGGCAGACCCATTTTATGAGCCACAATCTTGCCAGCTGTGGTCTTCCCTGCTCCAGGCGGGCCCATCAGCAGGATGTTTCTGCCCCCCAGGACAGCAGATTTTGTAGAAAAACATGACTTGAGTGTAGAAAGCTGGCACAGGCAGCATCTGGCGGTCCTTGAGGAAAGACTAATGGCACCGAGTAGTCCCATCCAGGAATACAGCCGGAGCAGCTGGGTTTTTTTTTTATGTTTTTCCCTCTGCAAAGAAACATGTTTGGTTCATTTTGACACATGCAAAAAATAAATTAAATTACAAAATAAGGCATGCAGACACAACAGGGTTGCAACACGAATACAAATACATGAATATAAATACCTTGGAATTGGAATTGATGACTACCTCGCTTTTATTCATAAACTTGTTAAGAAATGAAAAGTTAAACTGGGCTTTTTCTTTCATAATAAGACTTTTTTTTTTTTGAGTAAAAAAAACGCCTTGTCTCTGCCACATTTTTATCGGTCTTAGATTCTGGTGACCTTTTTTATAAGAAAGCCACTTCTTCATGTCTTTAAATATTGGACTCTGTTTATGATGCTTCATTAAGGTTCATCACAAACTGTAGAGCCATGACATCACTGTGACCTGTACTCCCAGGTGGGATGGCCTTCCCTCTCTAAGAGAAGGCAGTGTCATTGGTACACTTTTATTTACAAAGCCCTTCTTGGATCACTGCCATCTTACATTTGTACCTACTTACACAGAAAAGCACGGCTTCTTCTGCCCTGAGATCCAACCATCAGCTGTTGCTCACTGTTCCTTTTGCCTGAACAGAACTGGAGAAGAAAGCCTTTAGCTACGCAGCTCCATCTGAGTGGAATTTTTTACAAAGACACTTGAAATTGACTGAGTTTTTACCTTTAAATGCTTTTAAGTTGAAGTGAAAGAATTTGAAGCAGCCTCAATGATCTATAATTGTTTTACTTGATATGTTTTTATGTTTTTTTGTTTTTTTTAAACACACAGGTGTGCTGCTTTTGTTTTGTTTTTTTTGTTTTATGTCAAATCAGGGAGACCTCTCAAATAACTTAAAAAGAAAAACT